CCCCCCCCCCCCCCCATGGTTTTAAAACTTATACCGTTGCCCCTCATGATTCTAATATTGACTTGCTTTGCCAATACCCATCTAGACTCAAATATCCTTCAAATATTAGGTGATTAGGTGTGCTACCTCCTACAATTTTGGAAAGAGGAATTTACTTAAATAGCACTAAAAGATAATGACTTTCTCTAAATAGCATCACATATGTTTTTTCTTCCCAATGTAGCATTTTTAGTCATTATGCATTAGTCATTATTCAAGCAAATATTGACCATCACTAGACATTATGGACATTATTAAGTGCTATTTAGGGAATACAACAGTTTAGGTGCTATTTAGAAAAATGACTTAAGTTTTAGTGCTATTTAGTGCAAATATTTCTTTTGGAAATGGGCACCAACGCCCATCTCTTTTTTCTTTATTGTTTTTCTTTTTTTCTACTATTTTTTCATAACTTTTTTTTTATTTTTTCAAATTATGTTTATAACGTTTTTTTTAAAATAATTTTTTTTGTGTTTGCAATAAAAGATCAATTAAATAAAAAGAATTATCGTGCACTTAATTTGTATCAAATTAAATATTTTCATTTTTTTGTTTAAAAGAGGTCTTTATTGGTTCATTTTTATGATTAAAAAAACAAAAAAAACATTCTCCTTTTACACTAAAGCTCATTTTCTATTAATTTTATTATTTCTTTATTTATTTTTTCCATTTTTTATTTTTTAAAAATAAATTTATACTGTTTCTTTTATTTTAAACAAAACTAATATATAGGAAAAGAATAGAAAAGAAAGAAATAAAAAACTTATATGAAAATTAAGTCATGAAAGAAGTATCGTGTGCACCGGTCAAAAAAATATTATTAATATATAATTAACTATATTTTAAAAAGACTTTACTAAGTTTTCTTTTGGTCCTGACATATATATTTAATTTGAGAAATGAAGTATATGTTAAAAATTTTATTTCATTTTTTATTTCAAATACTAAAATTTCTTATTTTTAAAATTTTTAAAATATATTTATGAAAAAAAATCATTATTTAAACGCAAACTGCTTCTACTATTTATGAAAAAAAGAAAAAAAATTGAGATGGGGCGTTGGTACCCATTTCCTGAACCATAGGGGCAGCAGAGTTATTAACTTAATATTTGAAGAGTATTTTTGTTTACATAGATATTGACATAACAATATCAGAATCATGAGAAACAACGATACAAGTTTTGAAATTACTAGGAATAATGCATGGCGCATATTTACCAAACCACAAAGGTATTGGTGGAATGAACTTTTTTTTCTTTTGTAGAATTTATTAAAATGACACTAAAACATAATAACTTTCCCTAAATAACATCACACTTTTCCCTAAATAATATCATATGTATTTTTTCTCAATGTAGCACTTTTAGTTATTATCTATTAAATTATTCAAATAAATATTCGTAATCACTGGATATTATTAAGTGTTATTTAGGGAATAAAATAATTTAAGTGCTATTTATAAAAATGACTTAAATTTTAATGTAATTTAATACAAATATTTCTTTTAAGAATGTATCCACATGTGGCAATTTGCTCTCTGCTCCCCAAACAAAGGCAAACCGGTACTTGTGTTAGGAAAGTAAACCCTCTTGTGAATATATTGTTTGACAAGGTAGAAATGAAGAAGTGGAAATGATCTGTCCCCCATCTTTGATGTTTGCATGTGGGCGTTACATACTAACCTTTGACTAAAATCAAAATGCCACTGCTTTCTATATACATACATTAAAGTACGTACCATACCCAGTATATATACCTTCTCCATAGCTTCTCCCTCACACAAACACACCAGCTAAGAAAAAGCAAGAAGCTGCTGGTTTGTACACTAATAATTAATTAACATGAAAATGGTGAAGACGAGCGACAAGCAAAAGATGGCCTATTCCGGCGACGCGGCGGCAGAGGCGGCGGCGAAGAAGAAGTACAAAGGCGTGAGGATGCGAAGCTGGGGGTCATGGGTGTCGGAGATCCGGGCGCCATATCAGAAGACAAGAATATGGCTGGGCTCATACTCCACCCCGGAGTGCGCCGCCAGAGCCTACGACGCCGCACTCCTATGCCTCAAAGGCCCCTCCGCCGCCGCCTCTCTCAACTTCCCCCACCACCTCTCCTCCTACCCCATTCCCCCTTCTCCCCCCGGCGCCGTCTTCTCCCCCAAAGCCATCCAGCGCATCGCCGCTGCCTCCGCCGCGAATTCGCCGCATTGGGAAGAAGCAGCGGCGGAGACAGACGGCGACGTGGAATATTGCATGGACGACGTCATCATCGGTGGGGAATTGGAAGTTCATTCCCCTCGCCGTCATGAGCAAACTCCGGCTGCCATAATGGCGGCGCAGTGCAGCTGGTACAACTTTGACTCCCCAAAGTACAGCAACATGTTCGCTAACGACGGCTTCTTTGCCGGCGACCCACAGTTGATTGATCAAATGTACGATGATTATGGAGAAATTCGGCTGTGGAGCTTCACCTGATTTGATATCTCTTCATTTTTCTTATATTGTCGTTTAGTGATTATTCAATTTATTGTTCAATTTATATATTCGTTCAAACACAAACATGGCTAGTTCTTATTGTACCCGCCGGGGGAGAGCATAAAAGCATACTCCTACGTACTCTGCTAACAGTGCTAAGTTTGTAATTCCGGCAAATTCTAGCTATGGAGCAGTAACAAAAAAAAATAGAGAAAAGTGGACCGTTTACCTCCCAATTCTTAGGAAATTGTATTGTTTACCTCTAAACATTAAAAAGTATACGGTTTACCTTCGAACTCTTTAAAAATTGTACCATTTATCCATGAAAATTAAAAAGAAATATTTATACTAAATAGCACTAAAACTTAAGTCACTTCTCTAAATAGCACTTAGATTGTTTTCTTTCCCAAATAGCACTTTATAATGTCCATAATGACCAGTGATGACAAACATTTACTTAAATAATGACTAATGGATAATGACTAAAAGTGCTACATTGAGAAAAAAACATATGTAATGCTATTTAGGGAAAGACATTATATTTTAGTGCTATTTACGTAAATTCCTCGGCGTTGCTCACATGCACAAGATTTACGACTTTACGAGTATGATTTACCTGACCTTTGTGAATTCTCCAAAGAACCCTTCCCCAAAATTATCGTCTTTATTTAAATGTTCAGAAATAAACCGTGCAAATTCTGAAGAGTTCTGAAATATTTGGTCCATTTTTAAAATTCAAAGATAAAACATGCAATTTTTAAAGAATTTAATGAAATTTGATTTATCTTTTTAATTTTCAGCACTAAACGGTACAATTTTTGAAAAATTTGAAAAGTAAAACATACACTACTCTCGGAAAATACAGATTCCGTATAGTAGGTGCGTATTAGTACTCCGTATAGTATAATAGTGAGCTGTCTCTAATAAATAGTTTTACGTAGTTTTTTTTGTACAGTGGAAACGCGGAGAAGCTAACTAAGGCTGGAGTAAGGGCGTACGTTGACTCATTCCCCTCCATCACTCCCACTCAATCGAGCCTCCCCTCAACTCATTCTCTACCCATTTTTTATAAATAAACCAGGGCCAAATAGTTGTTTGGAAAATAGGCACGGGAACCCTATCTATTTTCAATAATAATCCCTAAATTTCTATGGTTTCTAAAAGTTATATATACCCCTCCTCCACCTGATTTTTTGTAGCACGTGAATCTTACGCTCCGTTTATACGCTAGAGATTTGATAGAGAGAGGACATCGATGCTCAACTTTCAAACCATATGGGGTAACGATGGGATTAGTCTATTTTATTATGACAAAAATATCCTTCACTCAATTAACTTTATTTTTTTCAATGTTCCTTACAACATAAGTATTTTTGTAGTGTAGAGGAAGAGAAGTTTACACCTCTAGCAAGTATTTGTAGTAAATAAGTTTAGTACTTCCTCCGTCCCAAATTAATACTTGTAGTATGACTTTGCATGGAGCTTAAGAAAAAATGAATTTTTGTGGTTGAAAGTGATGTTGAGGAGAGAGAGAAAAGGTGAGCCACAAAGAAACATTCCAAAAAAGAAAAGAGAAAGATTAATTTAGGATAACCCCAAAAAAAATAAGAAAGATTAATTTGGGACAGAGGTGTAAACTTCTCTTCCTCTACACTTGTGTATATATACGAAGATAGATAATAATCTAACCTCTACACTGTGTGTATATACGAAGAAAGATAATATTTTGGAAGAAGTACCGTCATAGCACTAATATATGCTTAAAATACCCAATATAGCGCTGCTATGGGATATTGAAACTCGAGGGGATGCAATTCCAAATTTGTCCTTGCATTCCACACTGCCAAAAAATATGTTTAAGTTGGTATATACACTTCTTGAACATGGGCATAACACACTGCCGTCATATCCAATATAACATGTATCCACATTGCCAAAGCATGATCATTCCACATTGCCAAAAACTGTGTTTCAGTTGGTATACATTTCTAGAACATGAGCATAACACACTGCCAGAAAGTGTAGGCATAACATGATCATTCCACACTGCCAATAAAAAAGGTGGTATATATACACTTTCAATTTTGTTTATTAAATATATTTAAGTAGTGAGGAGTGGCACGACGGTTCTAAGTGACGTGCTACATACAACGAATGAGAATAACCTCCTGAAATTATGGATCTCAATAAATATGGTAAATAAAATGATTAAAATAGTACATTATAATAAAATTAAAAGGTATGATTGGAAGAGATCCACATCGTACCATAAATAGCCAAATGTGTGAAAAACAATAAGGTTTGATATATGTGTAATATTGTGTATCTTAGAGTGCTATAGGGTGATATGTATGGTGATTAGGATATTTAATTAATTATTAGTTAATTAGTATTTATTATTTAATATTATTTAGTTAATAGGGTTTAGTATGGGCCCGAGCCCATAAGGTCAATTAGCGTATCGTATTACTCTCTATATATTGTAATCCTTCCCCGTTATTATGGAATCAATCAATAATAAAGAAATATCAAAACCCTAATCTCTTTACTATTCTCTTGGAGCCTGGAAACGCTCAAAGTTTTTCATCTTTCTCTACCTCATCTTCTTGGAGCTTGAAGAACGCTTGAAGTTCTTCCCTATCCGATACGATATTCGTATTAATTGGTGCTCTCATTGTTGAACTTACCAAAAAATCCAAAAAAAATTGTCACCAGTGCTGCAGAGGTGCCATCGTTGTTATAGCCTTGTAGGCGCACGAGATTTGCAGCCGCCGTTGCAATTTCGTTTTAATTGATTCTGTAGCACACTGACAGATTGGCCGCTCACATATTCCATCAATTCCCTTTGCCAGATTATTGTCCCGCTGCAATCCCCTGTTGATTCAAGATCCAAGAAGTAGGTGCCACCCCACGTTTTTTAGTGGAGAATTGCTACGCACCATTCCAAAATAAAAGTTGGTTCAAATTCCTTGCTCTGCGACTACAGTTCTTTAGATGATATTTTTTGTATGGCAGTGTTTATTTCTAAAATGGACTCTGCATTTGACAAACTCATTGATTTGCTGGAAAAAGTTCTTTATGGAGAAATTGAGCATGATGAAGGAGTGTGTATGGTTTTTGATCATGTGTATGAGATCAGTATGACAGTATGAAGCTCAGATCGATCCATAATTTTAAAGGGCAAATTGATTATGATGCGCTCGAAGTAGAAATTTTTTGCTCGGTACAGGATTTGGTTCGTGGTCCCCTAATTTTGTCGAGTTTGATTTCATTGGAGTTACAAAATTTCAAAACAAACATGATGAAGGTCATCCAGAACCTCACTAGTGCCCCACTTTCTCCACCAAATTTGGCTCTTGTGGTCACCGTACAAAACACTGAGTCTCATGTAGAGGAATTAAAGGATGACACAAATGTCGAATCACATGTTGGGGATGTTATGGACAGGAGGCCTAAACTCATGAATGAAGATGACGAAAGGTCCAACGCCGTTGAAAATAATGAAGAGCTTGCCCTTCTAGAAGGTGCCAACAAGGTGGCAGATGCAGATAAAAAGCATGCGGACAACCCCTTTTCATTTGACACCATTAAGTTGTTTGACAATGTTGATGCGGTCAAGACAAAGCACCTAGTTTCACCGAGAGAACCTACACTGGGTATTGGCTCTATCTCACATGTTCCCCGATTTGCTCTAAGATCCAAGATGATTGAAGATTCAAAGAGTGGACTGCTCCTTTGGTTCAGCATTCTTTCTCCGGTTTTAAAGCACAAGTGGGAACCTCCACCTTGAGGACAAGGTGGTTTTTAAGGGGGTGGGAATTATATGTATGGTGATTAGGATATTTAATTAATTATTAGTTAATTAGTATTTATTATTTAATATTATTTAGTTAATAGGGTTTAGGGTTTAGTATGGGCCCGAGCCCATAAGGTCAATTAGCGTATCGTATTACTCTCTATATATTGTAATCCTTCCTCGTTATTATGGAATCAATCAATAATAAAGAAATATCAAAACCCTAATCTCTTTACTATTCTCTTGGAGCCCGGAAACGCTCGATGTTTTTCATCTTTCTCTACCTCATCTTCTTGGAGCTTGAAGAACGCTCGAAGTTCTTCCCTATCCGATACGATATTCGTATCATAGGGTGATTTCTATAATATTTTATGCCAAAGTTCTATAGTTTCCCTTCACATCTTATTTGCTTTCCTTTTTTTTTATTACTTCGTATTATTTTTTAATACTACATACATATCTATACTAATTTAATTTACTTAAACCAAAAACTTAAACTTAACTTTCATGAATATTAATTTAAAAGTAAAATTTTCTCTTGGCTTGAATGGTAGAAGTCCACTCCTCAGTATTCATTAGAAAGTTCACTCTAATTCGAGCCCCAATGGAGGAAAAGGTGTTGGCTCTTTCTGCATCATCATTAAATTGAGAAAAGTATTAAGAGAGAGTATTACATTGTAAAGCCACAATCAATAAAATTCAAAAACATATTAATATAAAAGTAGATAATTATAAAAACTAATCTTGTTATGAAATCAGTGAATTCATCATATTTCAATTAATTAGGCTAATTATTAGAGAATGATAGATCAAGACATCCATTGTAGAGCAGTATTTTGCAGTCCTTCCCACTTGTAGAAGTATTCAAATTGAGTTGTATTAGTGTCCATACTAAGCCTCTCCATTATAAATAGAGGCTTAGTTCCTGCAATTAAGTGCAAGAAGAAGAAGAGTACGTGAAGAATTAATAGAGAGAAGAAAATAGAAATATATCATATTTGTCTTTATAATTTCTAAATATTTTTCTTCCATATTATAACACGTTATCGGCACAAATTACTCATCGTCAGAAGTAATAACAAGATGTTCAAGTCCACCAAGGACATGTTAATTGCATGATTTGACATGAAGATTTGGGTCTGGCTCATGTGATTCTTGGAACCAAAATAATAATAAGACCAGATGGCCTGAGCTTGAGCCAATCCCATTACATTGATAAAATCCTTAAAAAAACTCAACAAGAATGATACTAAGGTGGCTAAAACATCGATGGATGTGAATGTTCACCTGGGTAATTACCGAGGGAATAGCAATTCTCAAACCAAATATGCGAGAGATATCAGAAGCCTGATGCACCTCATGAGCTGCAGACGGCCAAAATTAGCTTGTGCCATTAGCAAACTAAGTGCGTATACTAGTAACCAAAGACCTGAGCACTGAAGGCTATAGTGCGAGTGATGAAATACCTTCGGTATACTCAAAATTATAGTTTGTGCTATGGTAATATCCACCAGTGCTAGAAGGGTACATCGATGTCAATTGGAATACGGATAATAAGGATTCAAAATCCAGAAGTGGATATATCTTTATGTTAGTCGGTGCACCTGTATCTTGGAAATCCTCAAAACTGATGCTAATTGTCAGATCCACTATGGAGTTTGAGTTTATAGCAGTAGATAAATGTGTAGAACATGCTGAATGGCTTCATAATTTCTTAGAGGATATGCCAAACTCGGAAAAACCAGTACCTCTTATTTGTGTTTATTGCGATTCCCAATATGCAATACGACGAGCTCGGAGTAATATGTACAATGGTAAGTCTAGACACATTTTTCGTAGACACAAAACCATTAGGCAAATTCTCAATATGGGCATTATCTCAATTGACTATGTTAGGTAAAAGGATTATCTAGAGGATCCACTAACCAAAGGATTAACAAACAAACAACATGAGAAGTTAGTGGTAGGAAATGGTCTGAAAGCCCTACCTTGTGCTGGGAATGTTTTCTGAAGGAAAACCCAACCTGGGTGGTACCTAGGTTCAATGGGACAACCTACTTGTGGGACGAAGCATGGTTACTGTGGGGGGGGAGTCGGATCACTGACTTAAAACCCCTTCATTCCTACCAAGATAGAGTGACTCATAAAAATGTGTGAGGTTAGCATGATCAATATGTTTTAATGATTTTTGAACTATGGACAATGGGGGTCCAAGTGGAGTAATTGGGATACTCTTAGAAGAATCACATATGTAAGAGTGAAGTGCGGCCGCTTCAACAAAAGGATAACGGGCTAATCCTGTCTAACACTCTCGCAGAACCATATGCATATTTCATGACCATAACGGGCACACCCATGAGAAAAAATGATGGTTAATTGAAACTTGTGTATGATATATCGTAGTTTACACAAACGGTAGTGCAGTTCAAAGACATCATGTTCTACTCGGTAGTCAATAAAGATATACCCTATAAGGAGTACTTTCACTACGTCAAAAACAGAGGCTGACAACTGTTTATTTTAGTAGTCTAAAATTGATGTTTTCAGTAGTCTTCCGAGCAGCTGTCTAATGGGATGCTAGACCTCGGTTTAGAACAATTGTGCAAATCCAAATCTGACACTGGTGTTTTGTAGCTTAACACAACTTTGAATATTTGTGATCTGCTCGTGATTGAGTATACGATTTTGTATATACTCAAACAACAGTTTTATTGTGTTGTATATAGAATTTCAGACAACTACTTAAAAAAAACTGTCTTAATTAATTGTATATGGATTATTATGACAATGGTTTATTGTAGTTAGGATTGATGCGGTTACACTATGTTTTCCAAGTGTAGCCTAATGATCTATTAGATAGCTGCTCGGAAGACCACTATAAGTAATTCCATCAAACCTCTGCTACCTTCTGTTGTATGTACAACGTTGAGACTATTACTTTGGTCTTACCTTAAACAACTTTTTTGTTTGGTTGTATGCTGTCTATTAACACTCCAGTTTTTGTTCGTTGTCCTTTAAACATTGACACTATACTTCCAAACAGTAGTTGAATTTGCTACCAGACAGCTGCTCGGAAGACCACTATAAGTATTCGCTTCAAACAACTATTACGTTGGGTTGTATGTATAATGTTCAGATTATTATTTTGGTCTTATCTTAAACAACTATTTGTTTTAGTTGTACGACATCTATAAACAATACTGTTTTGGATCGTTGTCATACCACCCATCCAAACAATATTTTGGGAGAGTAGTCGAAATTGTTATCAGACAGCTGCTTGTAACACCACTGAAAACATTTGCATTAGAGAACTGTTCTTTTTTGTGGTATATTTAAAACTAAGAATACGATTATGTTTCATTTCACACAATTGCGAGTACCAGATGCCTAGCAGCTATTACCTCTACTAGTTTATATAGTTGTCCGTAAAATATTTGTAATATGAACTTAACAGTAGTAAGGCTGCTTATCACTCAAGCGTTTATTTGTGTTGCCTATCATAATCAGATGCTTCTGTTTTATGGCGTTGTGTTGCAGATATTCAAACTATTGTCATTTGGTGTTGTGCCTCAACCATTCGGAGTACTGTATTTGGTGGATAACCATGTTTTTTGCATTCTAATACAGTGGTCGTTCAATAAATCATACAATAGAAAGACTAATCAAGAAAGACTGATCAGAAAAGAAATATAAATTCCCAATACATGATTCAACAATCTAACAAAATAAAACATACAACCAAAGTCCAGGGGTAGAACCATTCAAATGGCATTATGACTCATAAAATACTTTTCAAATTCAACCTTTGTTTGATTGATGTCATCCTCGGTGTAAATTCCAAAAATATAGGATGCAACACATAAGAACTGATTTGTATGAAGTACATTATTCGTGATGACCAACACTAAAGAACTGACCAATAATTAATACTCAAACCTTCACTTGCACTGAGTAGTACACATTATTAGTGAACTAGAAGAGGCTCTACTTAATGTTAAAGTCTCTTCTGATTACAAACACCAGAACTGTACACAACACATGGCTTGTCATGTTCTTTTAATGTATTCTATAGGGGGATAGTCTTTACCTTTCACCCACAAAAACAAATATGATGCAGCAACTGTTCTTTATTTTAAGCAGTTTGAGTATAAAAAAATATAGAAGAAGAGCATCATTTTACATATACTATTACTTGTGCATATAAACAGCTGATATGCTGCATCATATTAAAATATAAAACAAAGGAAAAAATAGCTTTTATGAAATTCAAAACCCTCCAGCTTCACAAAATAAAAATACTGTGTACAGCGCTATCTTAGCTTCAACTTAAATCTGTGTAAAGAGCATGTAGCAGAACTTGCATTTATCCAGAAATTCAAACTAAAAAACAAACTCCTAAATGGTACACGGATGCAAAGAAGCACTTAATAGAGAACACTCATAAAAGCGACAAATCAAACTTTGCAATTCAGTAATGGTATGATAACATACAATACAGTAAATATCCCCAGAATAAGAGAAAGGCACAATTAGTGTGAAGCAAAAGAAACAAGAAAAACTACATTTAAGACAACAATATCACCTTTGAAGCAAATTGAACCTCTTTATCCTGACAGATCTCTTTCATGTATCGCATTACAAACAAGCCACAGTCTACATTCCCTTTTTGCATCGGGATGCCCTAAAAAACAAAAATATAAAGTACGTAATACAACACTTCTCATTCAACCTGCATTACATACCAAATAATAAGAATCATATAATACCGCCATGTTCTCCCAAGACACTTTCTTCTTCAACATAGATGTGTTCATGGTATTCTTGTACAAAACTATAGCACTATAAAGAAACCAAAAAGATAAATAGAAAAATGTTATAAGCAAAAGTGATAGAAAATACTAAAGATTTTTGTTCATTGAGTCACTACTTACTTATCAACCACTTCAGTCCACTACTGACTATCTATACGACGTTTAAGGGGGTCCATGTAGTACACTACCTCTTCATTAGGTTTGACAACAGTCAAAGCCCAATGATTCCTACAAATAAAAACATATATGAATTACGACATTCACACAAACTTAAAGAAATTTGCATTTACAGAAGTGTATTAACAAAGCATTACAATGCAAATTAAATACTAACTTCACATGGAAGAAACAATTCAGAACATCAGTTCTTGACATGAACAACTTAAACATACTCACACGTCATTGAACGATATTAGAAAGTGTTGTCCATCACAGGCCCCCTTAAAGCAATCAGCAAGCTTGCGTGACCTTTGCCCTATGTTCCCACATGCAAGCGTTCGTACCATGCCGGGATCCACAAAAGAGATCATCTGAAGCATTTTGTTCTTTTTTACAAGCTCATACAGGCAGCTGCAAAGGTAATTACTTGATAGTTATGTCACTTGTCCATAAGAATATTATATCAAAAGGCTTTTAACAATGAAAATTAAATCTTTGTGTGATGACATTCTTACTGGATGTATATTGTAATTATGCTTCCAGCCATCTCGCCACGAGCGTACAGAGCATATCACTCAGAAAAATCAATAACTTCTTTTCCACCCCAAAGGCATCTTTATTAAGGATAAAAGTATGTGCTCTATCATCAGACAATGCTTCCTTAGCCCACAACCATAGCCGTTTCAACTGCAGTGGATACTCAGGACCAAGTTCTACTTGGAACTCTTGGCCACATTCTTCATCGTCTAGAACATGTGCCTTTTTCAATCTTTTAGGGGCCTTTTTCTTTTTGACAGTTTTCAAATTGCTCTATAAAAAATGTGCATGTGGGTAAATATATTATCTAAAAGAATCAAGTAGACATAATAGTAGATATATAATAACCTTTCCTTTAGGAAGCACATCCAAGACTATCAGCTCCTTAGGCCATGCTACAAAGGTTCCTTTGGATTGTTCAACAGTAAGTACTTCACCGGGGATTGGGACTGGAATGTCAACATCTGGCAAATATCAAAGATTAAAAACATGAGTACTTCTAAAATGTGTGCATTTCATCCATAGCTTATACATTCAAAATATTAATAACTTGCTCATGCAAACCTTGTATTTCTTTTGTAATGGACACCTTTGCATATTCTTCACCCAGTTTTTCACCATGTAGGGTGAGGTCATCCATCCGGGAGAATCCATACACCTTTGCATGTGCAACAATATTGTCCACAGAACCAACAGCAAGCTGTGCCATTTGGCTTTCCCCGGAATCAACATCAATGAAGACATATTTTTATGCTTTCTTCTCTACTTTAAATCCTCCAACTTCCACAAGCTTCTCCACAGTATCAATTTCTAGATCTTCACTCTCATTCTTTTCTCTTTCTTTTTCATTTTGTTTCTCATCAACATGCTCAGCCACAGACAGTTTATGATTACACTCATCACCAATGTCATTATTCTCTGTGAGTGGTTCAAGTTCTGCATCAAATGAGTCCTTTAGATTCTTCCTTGCCACTTGTTGATTCTGCCCACCTTCCCTGAATTTAGGTGAGCAGCTAGCCTCTTGGGAAGGGACAGCGGGACTACTTCCTTGTTTCTTCCAGATCTCTAATTTCAACTTCTTTATTTCAGCCATCCAAAAAGCATATCTTGAAGCAACAATGTTATTCACCTCCTCTGCCAAAAGTTGTCTCACACCCTCCTTCACTTGCTCATCAACTGTTGTTTGTGTCTTTTACTTCTTTGACCGCGGGAGATTGAAATACACAGCCTTCCTCACATGCATTCCTTGACCTCGAATTCTTCCACCGTGCTCGGGCTTCCCAAGAGCCTTGATCAATACATCATCTTCTTCTTCTTCTTCAGTAAGCACACCAGAGCATACTTGTTCCCTTAAGAACTCTTGAAAATGAACCGGAATTCTATCAATAAAACAGGAGTGGTATAGAACTCAAAGTTTTAACATTACACTAAAGCATCAAAGGAATAGCCATTGGATGAAAAACAACAAGGCTGCGGGGAGTAGAGACAGACAGCAACATTATGTGCAAGAACTTACTAATTTTCAGAAATTATTCAAAAACTTACAAGTTCCTCCGCCTTCTGTTTTGTAGAGTCACACTTGAAATTTCCTTCTTTGTCCTTCCTTGCAAGGACCCACGTAACAGATCGATCAATGACTAACTCATCTCCACTGTGTGTTTTTGCCTGCATGTTCATTTAGTGAGTAATGTATCATAGTCAAAATGTACATGTAGAAGAGGAATACTTCTAACACAGAACTCCACATATATGAGTGAGTACTAACCCATTCCTGTTCCAGGTTTGCATAGCCTTTTCGGGACAAGCGATGAGGATATTTGTTTTCCTTAACTCTCTTCACATGCTCATCATGGACTTTCTGTAGAAAAAGGACAGTTCATCAAAAAGGTAGTATTTTAAATAAAGTACAATGGAAACATAGTCTTACCAAGAACTCAGGGCTTAGACGATCAGCAACAAAAATATCCAAATGATTCTTTTCCAAGAAAGAGAAGTCCTCTGGTGGAGTCCTCAGCTTCTTAGGTTCATCTCGAAAGGGAAGAATATATCGACATGTCAGGGTACTCTTGAATTGTTTCCACTTCGGATTCACCGACTGTAGCACAAGTTTTCGTGCAGAAGGGGGTAGGTCGAACCCCAACTATATGCATAAACATGGGAGGAATTTACTAGTCTAAGTCAGTTGGAAAACATAGGAATATAGTTAATGATCAAGTCATTTATTTTGTAAGGACTACTCAAGTGTTAGTATGGTTATATTTACCGTGACAGATTTCCAAATCTTGTTCTTGATGGTTACCGGAACTTGCCTCCAAGTGTCAAACCATATTGGAGCTTTAGTCCTGGCCAAAACTCCAATATAAGATTGCATTTCTGTAGCAGCCACACCATACGATTGTCCCTTATCATTAAATAAACAAAACCGTTGGTTTCTGTCCATTTATCTTACGTTTCACAACGCGGTGCATTGAAACACATCCACGTTTTCGAAGTTTCAACCCACCCCTAGAAGGTTTGGCCACACTTTCACTTTCTACTTCTTCCCGCTTTCTCTTCTGCTTGATCTGTTTTTGTACATTGTCAGATATAGGCTTTGGCTTTGGGGTGACGGGCAAGGGAGTAGAATGGCTTTGCACGTTCTTTGACCTTGAGCCACTTAATGCCTGCACCACTGTCAAAGTGCTCGGCCGATCTTTTCTTTTAAGCCTGGGAGATTTTCGGAGCTTAGGTTTTGGGGAACTATGACATTGCAATTCATTACGGTCTGAAAGAGCTTCAGGTTTCTCGTGCCTTAGAGAGGATCGGAGAATTGGTTTATGGATTTCCCGTCCAGCTTGCGAATGTTGTTGAGTGCTAGCCATATTCTGAAAGTGAGTGAAGATGAAAAATTTCAGTCTATACGTGGTATATATCGAATAAATGTTGCGCATAATGAAAAATTGGGTTCTGCCTCAATTTGTAGTTGGGTTATCACATTCATTTTTTTAGGTGAATTTTCAGGAGTTATTGTGATAAGGGACACTAAAACAGTAAAATAATTTTGATGTCAAGCATTACACAAACAACAAAGGTCTGTACCAAAATATTGAGATAAAAAAACCTATTATCTTTAATATTTTTTTAAATATATTTAAAAAAGGATGGAAGGAGTATTGAGTTGACTCTAGATAAAAAATTGTTCATTATTGCTGCTCTCAGGTCACATTCAACGAATTAAGGAATTGGTTGAACCCTTTCTGGTAACCTACATGGTGAGGATTTGAATCTTGGAAGCAACCCTTTACAGATAGTAAATTAAAAAAGAATAACAACAAACCAATGGAGTTTGACTTCAATTGATTGAGAAATGTAACCCTGAGCAGCGAGGTAGACGCATGCAAAGAAGAGGCCTTAGAGAATTCGACAATTTTTGGAAAACAAATATGGTGACTATTGTTGGAGGGAATACCAGATTTGAGGTTTACGACTTACTTAATTTTAGGGTTTTCAGCTCCAATCTCGGCAAAAACGGTAGGTTATGGCTCTAGTATCGCAGAGGGAAGTCAATCGGAGAAGAGAAGGTTGAGTGAGGAGGCGACCGGAGGTAGGGATTGAAGTTCAGAGTAGAGTGGATGAATTGATTGAATTAGGTGAAGTCAATTTTTGGAGGCCTTCTCGATTTTTGAGCTTCCAGCTTAATTTTGGAGGGTGGATGAATTTTTTGGAATATTTTAGCCAAAATTTTAGAGGGAGTATGTTTGGCACATAGTAGATTTTGGCCAAAATTTTAAAAGTTTTGGCCCCTTCTTTGCCAATATTTTGCCACGTACGGAGTAGTAGATTTTGGCCAATATTTTGGCAAAAATTTTAAAAGTTTTAAAAAGAATGTTCTCCATTCTTTTTTGGGATATGCTAGGGGTACACCAAATGTGTACCCCAAATGTACACCACTCTCCTTTCTACCATTCATTTTATTTTTTTTATTTTTTATTTTTTATTTCAATTTTTCTTGCTTTTTTTTTATGGTGATTGAGGTGGTGAGGGATGTTTGGGGTACACCTACACCCTAGCATTTTCCTTCTTTTTTTTCACATGTACGTAGTAGATTTGACACGTTTTTTTAAAAAATAGTAAAAAATGTAAAGTTTTTAGTTTTAGAAATGAACTCCTTGTTCAATTTACTTTTATTTAAACTCCTACAATTTTGTTGAATAATGTTTGTTATTTATTTGATAAAATAATAAATTTGTGTCATATCCAGTTTTGCATATGTTTTGATATAGTCTTTTGATATGTAACTTTTTTTAAAATTTCATACCAATTTTCACATAAAATTATTTAAAAGAACGGGAATCAAGGATATTATATAGTGTTATTATGGACAGCGAGAGGAGTGGATGAATTGTGAAAACCAAAATATTACTTAGTGTTATTCTTAAATTAAAGACTAAGTTTTATCATCGGAACGAGTAGAGTACGACTAAAGATTGACTTCGGTTATCGTTACATGTAGCAGTTGGCTACTTTGCTTATACTGGTACCGTATCTGCTTTAACAACTGAAATCGGGTTATTAGTATATTTAGTAGTGCGTTTGATATTCATAATTATCCCTGAACGAGTGAAGATTGAGTTAGGTTATCGGTACATGTAAGAGTTGAGGAGTTTGGTTATCTTATGGATGGTAACATCCAAGACTGAAACCAGGTTATCGGTATATGTAACAGTATGTTTGATATGATATTCAATTCGTAATTATCCCTGAACAAGTCAAGATTGAGTTAGGTTGTCAGTACATGTAGCAGTTGAAGAGTTTGGTTATCTAATTATGGTAACATCCAAGAATGAAACCGGGTTACCGGTATATGTAACAGTATGTCTGATATTCGTAATTATCCCTGAACGAGTCAAGATTGAGTTAGATTGTCGGTACATGTAGTAGTTGAAGAGTTTGGTTATCTTGGTAACATCCAAGACTGAAACCGGGTTATCGGTATATGTAACAGTATGTCTGATATTCGTAATTATTCCTGAACGAGTCAATATTGAGTTAGGTTGTCGGTACATGTAGCAGTTGAAGAGTTTGCTTATCTTGGTAACATCCAATTAAGACTGAAACCAGGTTATCGGTATATGTAACAGTATGTCTGATATTCGTAATTATCCCTGAACGAGTGAAGATTGAGTTGGGTTGTCAGTACATGTAACAGTTGAAGAGTTTGGTTATCTTGGTAACATCTAAGACAGAAACCGGGTTATCGTTATATGTAACAGTACGTTTGATATTGTTAATTATCGGTATATGTAACAGTATATGTACCAGAATTTGGTTACTTTTATATTGAGCAATAAGAATACTTTAATGGACTACGCTACACTTACACCAAATATTGTACCACATTTGTACACCGCAGTTATACAAAAACATTTTGATGGTTTACATTGACACATATGTTGGTGCGTTAACAAAAATTTAAATGGACACAAAGTGTTGGTGTTTAAAAAAATATTTTTACACCAACACAAAATGTTGGTGCAAACCTGCAGTGTACAAATGAGGTACAAAAGCTTGGGATACAAATTAAATAACTTTATCCTACTTTAACAACAACATTCAATTTGGACATGAGAACCACTCATCTACCTCCATCCACCACCTAATAAAATCAATGACTTTTATCATGAACTGAACAAACTAGAGCCACTCATCTCCCTTCCCCTCCTTATCCGATCTCGCCGCAGACTCCAAAAAAAACCCTTCCACTCATCTCCCTTCCCCTCCTTCTCTCCATTCCAATGGCCCTCTCATCCTAATCTGTTGTTGGCGGCCATGTATCTGAGAACGAAGTAATTTTCATTGAAAGGGACGACGATGGCGTGGACGATTCAAAGGAGACTGAAGTCATCTATTACCATGAAGAGGAAGACGTCATCATCATTGCTGGGACTGAGAAGACGCAGTTGATGCTAGACGACGGCCAGAGGTATGAGATACTCGCAATGGAGACTTCTCCGGGGATCTACAAACCTTGGGATCCAAAGACAGATGTGATGAAGTTCATGCAACCCACTTCAGATGTGAACTCTTCGGTCTCAGAGATCAATTCCAAGTATGTCATTTCACATCCAATTCCTAAGATTATCGAATTTCATTTGTAATTTATGAAATTTCTACTTCATTGATACATGTGTGTTTTCCTTTAACCTGCTGGGATTACCGTATCAGTGTTCACTTCTAATTACCATATCTATTCTCTACTACACTAATGGGAATGTGTGATATTGTGATGATTATTAGTTGAACTGGCTGATTTCGGTGTGCCTGATAAATTGGTTAAGGAGATGTTGGGATAATGTGTTATATGCATAGTACCAATTTCTTTAATTTCTTCTTACAACTATGTTACACTGCGTGATGATTAATTGCAAGAGCAACTCCTGACATAAATGTGATTGTATTTCGTTTGTTGTCCAAGGAGTAATGTTGCCATGGCTGAAGGCAGCAGGAAGGACAAAAGGAAAAAAAAGAAAGTTAGTGGTCGCTGCAGTACCCATAAAAAAAGAAGAAGGTGTAAACCAATGAAGACTGCCTGCATTCCAAATTACTTAAAATGGTGGAGGGGTGTTTGTAATGGGATGTTTTTGTATAGTTTTTTGGGTGGCCAATTAAAACCAAATCATTATTTTTGGTATGTTACTATACGTCTTGTTTTCGGAGGGAAGTTTGGAACAAAATGTTATTAGATTAAGATGTTTCTTTTGGTATGTTATTATACGTCTTGGGATTTATGTATTATTTAAAAAAACGTTTCAAGGTATTCCCTTATTGCGGCAACCTACGGATGGCAATTCAACTCAAACTTGAGCTTAACCGACCTGACCGACTACTAAAATAACCTAACCAGAACCGAAAATAAAATAATCCAAATCCGACCCGAAATTTTTTTAAAGTCGGGTCGGGTATAGTACTCTCCCCCCTATTCATCTAAGTATGAGTTATATTTTGGTGACATATAAAGAAAAACGGTTGAAAATGCAAAATTTTCAAATTAACAGACCAACGTATAGAATTTGTTTGTTTTCAAATTAACAAACTAATATATATTCCCGTACTTTAAAACATATTTTATCACTATTAGAAAAATAAAACAACTAAAATTTGTTAGAAAAACGTCCCAACGCTAGAGGGGGGTGAATAGCGTTTGAAACGAAAAATGACGCAGGAATAAAAATTAAAAGCGTAAAGTAAAGAGCAAGGAAGAGGCACACCGTTTTTACCCTGGTTCACCACAACTTGTGGCTAGTCCAGCCTCCCGAGAGACTCTCTCGAGCTATACTACTATCTCGTTAAGCTTAACGGTGCTTAACAAACCCGTACAACTTGAGAGTTCGAGTCACACAAACCTCAACGAACCTTCGAAGGAAACAACCCTTCCTTCGAACAACAAGAGAAATATTTTCTCTTGTCAAGTGTCTAAGAACACTAAAAACACTCAAGAACAATGCTCTCTTTTAGAATGGATAATGAGTAACTAAGAATGCTCAAGAACACAACACAAGCTTCTCAAAAATGGCTCTCAAAAAGCTATGAATAAAGGATAAATGATTTGTAATGAAAGAGTAGAAGTTGTGAAGTAATGTGATATGTAAAACAGACCCAAACATTCCATTTTATAGTGCCAAAATAGGCTCCAACGGGTCAAAATATTTAAGGGATGATTGGCTTGATTTGTGGGATTTGATTGAAATTGGATCTGCTGAAAATCAGCTAGACAGCGCTGTCCTAGGCTTGGACATCGCTGTTCTAGGCTTGGGTTTTGAAAAATGGGAAGCAACGGTCATGCCTGCAGCGATGTCCAATACCCCTACATCGCTATTTTGGCTGT